GGGGGAGGGGCCTATGAAGTCCGGCTTGCGACCTGTGAGAATTGGGAGAGAGGACAAAATTGGAAAAACCACACTCTGAATGGTTTAGAGACTTCCCATATGCAAAATGGTTAAGAGCCTTTTAGTAACCATTAAGAGGTTTCTTTTTTTTGCCAAACAGTCTAAACCTCTGAACGATTAAGAGGCTCCCTGTTAATGTCACCATTAAGAGGGAAACAAACAGCCCCTAAGATTATATGGATGGTTTCTGTAAGGAAAAATACATTTGTAATTGTTTCTTCCTAATTTATTTAATAAAATCTCGCACTTTGAGGGTGTTTGAGATTGCTTATTTAAAACAACCTATGTTTTTTTTTAAAAGTGTTTATTAACTTATGTGGTATCAAACCGGAGTTTTGTAAAAAGTGTTTGGATTAGCTTATAGCGGTACCAAAAAGTAATAAGCTGATAAGTTGTTTTTTAGTGTTTGAAAAATTTTGCTTACATATATAAAATGACCAAAAAGAAGTTTTCTATATTATTGACTTATGGGAGTGTTTGAGATTGCTTATTAACTTATTTGATTTTTTAACATTTAAAAATTATTTTTCATCATTTATAATAATATCTTTGACAAAAGTTTACATCAGTAAGATTAATAATTTATATTAATAAGATTAATAATTTATATCAATAAGATTAATAATTAACAAACATTAATAAAATAAGATTAAAATGATAAACCGGTAATAAGCAGTCTTTCATAAGTGAGGAAAGATTAACTTATCAAAAACTGTTTATTACCGGTTTGACACCGATATAAACAGTTTTATTTTTCCTCATTCAAACACTAACATTTAACTTATTACCATTGTCAAACTGAAATAAGTTAAAAAAACACCTAAAAATAAACAATCTCAAACACCCTTTGTGTCATGATGTCAAATTCCAATATAAAGACTTACAATTCAATCCTTGATAAATACATAAACTTACCATTTTAGTCCCCGCCAAAAGACCATTTAGTCTCTTTGAGTACAATGATTCTGCTTGTAGTTCGCTTATTCATTTTGACACTCTCTCATATTGAAAGTAGGCTTTCTTGGTTGAGGATCCCATCGTCGCTGGTTCCAATCAAGATCCCAGCCGTTAGCGCCCGTATCACATGCACTTCGTTATTTGCTTCGTAATCGATAAAGTGAATCAAGTATTTTTCTTCTTTAAATTCTTTCTTCTGTTATCATCTCTATTTCTTATTACGCCAGAATGGAGTTGTTTTTAATAATATAATATTTATTTCTAACAAAATTTCATTGTAATCTTAGAAAGTTTTCATAACATAAATTGTTATTGGAAATTAATTAATGCTCAAACTTTAGATTTGGTTCCTGAAAGACATTAAATACAACAATAGTCTTTATTTTCAGTTTTGTATAATAGATTGGTCTCCTCAAATTAATACCGTTAGTTATAGGACTGTTAACACCATCGTGTATCTTTTACATGAGGTGCAACTTGTTGTTTCAGCCCTATTTCTTAATTTTTTTTTTTTAAGAATAATTATAGTAAACTACATGCTTGGTTATTTGTTATTCCCAAATTTCGGATTTAGTCCTTAAAACACATAAGTACGCCAGTGCTCTTTATTTTGTGTTTCATATACCATATTAGTCTCTACACTTAACATCGTTGACTAGGGCTAAATTACCCCCTCCTTCGCATTTGAGGTTCAAATCCCTCATTTTGCCTCTTTCTTGTTTTTCTTCTAAAACTTAAAACATAAATTAATTTAAATGAATACTTTAGTTATAAGTTCCTATCAACGATACTTGATTTTATGTGAAACCCAATTACATAAATAATTTTTGGAAGTTACATTTCAACCCCTATATATTTTGGTATTTCATCAAAAATTCACAAAAATATTCTTAAGATGTTAAAAGTAAAAAAGTTGACTTTATGTCAAAACCAATATTTATTTTTTCAAATGACAAAATCTTTTAAAATACTACTAAGGTATTAAAATATTGAAATTGGCTTCATATTGCGAAACTCATATTTTTTTTTGGTCTCATGCCAAAAGCTTTATAATTAACAATGTTATCTTCAAATTAAACAAATCGCAAAATATCGATTGGATTTTGTCAAACGAGTGTAAATAGCCCTAAGATTTATAGGGACTCAAGAAATACATATTATCCGCATATTACCTGGAAATCAATAGATTGAGTGATTTCTTTTTGTAATTAAAATATTGATGAAAGTATTATCAACAAAACTGAACATGCAAAAATCCAATATTGTTATGATAATGAAATTTCTTGCATAATATAATGATTATAGACCGTGATTCATTGTTTTAAAAAAATCATATATTTTCCATTATTACAACAAACTGAACTCAAAAAGACTTGATAACCATAAGATATGTTCATAAAAACAAAAGCAAAAATGTAAAAACCATCAAACTCTATTGACCCTAAAAACCGACTGTCAAGGTACAAGTATAATATCAGCCACAACCTTTGGAGAGAATACCGTTAACTACAATCCCCCAAGAACCCGTAAAAGGAAAATCGGGAGTATTCATTACCATGTACTTCCCAAACAAATCATACAATGGAATGAAACATACTCGATTAAAAAAAGGTGATTGATTTCAACAAAAAAAATATTGTCTCAAAATGCATCTCAATCTAAGGAACTCACAGAAGATGACATGATTCATAACTTTATTTACACTTTTTCATATATCAGTAAATATTAATGAACCAATATAAGTTGAAATATCACATTTGGACAAACTTATCAACCTACTGCAAGTGGTTGAGAGACATAACAAGGTTCTTTCGAATAACAACACTAGCCATGTTGGGGTTTGATGGTTTTTACATTTTTGCTTTTGTTTTTATGAAAGTGTTAATGAAAGTGTAAAAAGATTGAGATGTGGACGAGACCATGGAAAGGGTCAGGGTCAGGGTCATGGCAAGAGTAGAGAAAGATTTTTCAGTCCTTGAAGCAGAGATGCAACTACTGCGTATAAGATAGTCGACAATAAAAGAAGAAATATGCTAATAATTGCTCATATAAAGAAAGAACAAGTTGAAAATGAACTATATCATATTAATTTAAGATTGAATGGGAATAGGTTTATTTGAAATTTATTTTAAATATTAAATTAATTTCATTGTTGATTTAAAACTGATATATAACCATTGTAGATGTAAAGAAATACATGAAAACAAATATAAAACTCTCAATATTATTCGTTCCGTGTAGGAATGTATCGAGGAGAACTTAGACCTCTCACACTATTCTAAAATATAGACTACTATTCATTTTATAATTCCTCCCACCATAATACTTAGACGATGGACTGTCATTTTCTTGTTAGTACAAGATTAATAGTCACTAAATCACTATATTAATAGGAACCTTCTTAAGATATTCGTGTCAATTGGAAATCATATTATAAAAATGGAAATGACTATATGTACATCAACTCCAATGATATGAAATGAACACATATTACATAAATTTAATTAGTGGATTATCTAAGTCATTAAATCATATTTTGTCATCAATAAAGAACTTTGGGACAATGACACATATATGTTTCGACATGACCACGTGGGACACCATGGTCATGACAATATGATTTGTGTATTGCAAAATACACATACACATTCTCTTTCGAGTGAAAGGCAAAATGAGAAAATTAACCAAATTGCAATTGTTGACTTCTGTAACACAAGAAGCAACCATCATTATAATATGCCTTCTCGAATACCCTGAACTTTTGTATACCCTGATCTTTATCCAAGAGAAGAATGAGACCATCTTAAAGTTAAGGACATAATACAAAAATATTCAATTCTTACAACGAATACAAGGTAATATTTATGGATATAAACATCCAGAATGCAGGCCATCGAAATACTTTATGGTTCTGGTTTCGACACAATGAACGCATGTCATATTATTGTCTACATGAAATGATGCACTCCTAGCACAAGCTATATGTTTAAGGGCTCACCACCCTGATTATTCGATGCAATCTTTATGACTTGGAATGCTAGATAATTTACATAATAAGGATTTGATGATTATTGCATATGTATTGGGATAGATATGAAGTTTCTTATCCCCCATGTGTATATATAAAATTATCTTGTAGAAGTTGTCATTAAAAGAATATAAATGATATATATGGCATTGATTATGCACACCAATTCACCCACATCTGCATGGGGTTATGCAAATATTACATCCAGCCTTATTTATCGTTGTCAGACCCACTACTAGACAACATATCTCATG